TCATCTTTGTTGTTCCTCAGACACCCCAGCATGTTGCCAGAGGCTTCTGGTACCCACCAACCCCATCAGGATCAGGTGCCCTGAGATGCTAATAAGGTTCCTATTGGCTTTATATAATGGCTATGTTGAACCTGGTTCCTCAAGCCAAGCAACTTGTTGTTTTTCAGAAGCTGACCTGTTGCCACTAGTTATTACCAGATTTTCCTATCCAGAGCAAGATTGGGTTTTCTAACAAGGGGCATCCTGGCTATAGCAGTCAAAAGCCAGAGAACAGGTTTCAGCTTCTGCCCATAGTTTTCTCAACTGCAACACTTGACCTACTCCCCTGCAAGTGAAGAGTTGCCATTCATTCCAATCAGAGGAAAGGCAATCAATGCACTTGGGAACAGTGGTAGCAAAACTTGCCCTTCAGCTGATGGTGGTAAATTACCACACAAATCAACTGATAACTTGTTAAACTGGCATCTATAAGCAATGCTGTGGAGCCACAAAAATCCATGAGGAGGCAAACTAATGACATGGGCTCACCTGCTTTGATTTCCGGGTCCTATGTCTTTGAACATGGTCTAAGATGGATGCAATATTAAAGGACCATGGGAAGTGAAGGACACGAGGCAGGAGTTGGTAATGCAGGTGAGCTGTGCATAAGCAAGCTGCCAGCTAGCTCTGCCGAAGCTCTTTTTATTAGCACAATATGCAAAACCAGTTAGATAGATTTTGGACTGTGACCTTTACACGTCTTCCAATCCTGAGATCGAGGGGTGGTACAAAGTTATTTTGGCACCTGTTTCCACCGCGTCATTTCCCCTTGAACCATGTATGACGAAGGAGACAAAGGGCACAGACGGGGGGGGGGGCTGTTCAAGGAGATAAACATCTGCCAAAGTACTTAGCCAGCTGCTTTATGCCTGGCATGAGACATACAAACATTTGCAAATATATTTTTTAAGCTCATTTTAAAATGCAGGTCTTGATCTGATGCCTCAATATAATGGATGTCTTGAACTAGGCACCTCAAACTGCGCAGTGTGTTCTTGTCTGCCTGAAAGCCTGCGATTTCTCAGCTGCTAGCCTTCCAAAGCTGTCTCTCCATATAAAAGGCATTCCAATGGAGCAGAGTTTGTTTCTTGGTTATTGAAGGTCACGTCTGCTTCAGGTCTGGCTACTTACATTTTGTGTTCTGCTTTTGCTCAGGACTGGTGGTAAGTATTGCCCCCATTCCCCATCTCAAAATAGGTAAAACAAGAATAAGACACTGCTTTACATAGGTAAAACTATAGGTAAAATCTAGGAGCAACTGGTGAGGATGTACTTTTGCAAGAGTGGAATACATGCCTCCTAAAGTGGGGACGTGATAGTTCAGTGTTGGAGCACATGCCTTCCATTGAGAAAGCCCCTAGTTAATCCCCTACCTATCATCTCCAGGTGAACATTTCAGTGAGAAGAGAGTGGAGCATCCTGATAATGGGGCAAAATAGACAAGGCAGCTCCCTGTGTTTGTAGAATCAAATTACCCATCTCTTGTATGTGTATAGCTGGGTAGATTCAGGGCTCATGCACACTGCTGCTCATCCTGTGCTTTTCAGGAAAGAGCCAGGCGGTTTTCCATTTGCCTCACCACTTTCCCCAGGAAAGTGTTTGTGGCTGAATCCAAGCACATCAAACCGCAGAAAACCCTACTGACGATTGTTTCAATTCATCAGATCCAGTTCTTAAGGTGAAATTCTGTACCTTGGAGCCCATTTCAGGGGAGAGTTCAATTTCCCTTTTACCTGTGAAAGGAAGCTGCTTTTCTCCTGGCTCCTGATGAAAACATGAACACTGCAAGTTTGTGCCATCTTTGGAAAAGAGGGTCTAGTTGTCTAGGTGGGAGGTGTTGCTAGTCTCAGGGCACAGGAGCTTGCCACAAACAATTTCCATCTCTTAATCTATACACAGAGATGCAGGTTTAGTTAGACACTGAATACTGATTGGTCCCTTCACAAACGAAATGCTGTCTGTTACAACAGACGCTGTGAAATGCAGACTGTGCTCTTCAAAGGGGCCTGGCAAGCCATGCGAACCGAAGGAGAAGACATGTATGGGACCATTCTGCCTGAAGATAGAAATATTTTCAGGTAAGTCTTTTCTGTCAACCATCTCCCTTTTTCTCTGCTGGGACTAGAATGACCTGAGATATAAGTTTAAAACTAAAAATAAAAAAATTGGACATGTATCTTTCATAAATGTTCATTTTATTTTAATGTTGACATTTTAGTAGTTTTAGCAAAATAAATTCAAAATTCTATTTAAGTGCATATTTTTTGTTAGGATATTTCCGTTCCACCTTAAAAGGGAGCAGGCTGTGAGTCACAGAGTCTGCGTATTTCCTGTTCACAGGAAGTTTATGTTTTCTATTGCTTTCGTTTCTCTCTGTGTCGTAGACACTAAAGCAGGCAGTCATGTTTTTCTGTGTTCTGATCAACGCTGAATAAACTTGTAAATAATGCTCTCCTGATTGCGACTTTGGCTGCGCATTATCTGCTGATAGAGTGTGCATGAGCTCTGGAATGTGGCAACCTATTTCTAGAAACTCATGTCACTAATTGCTGATACTGCGTGACTACGGGAGATCGATGGATCGTCTGGCAGCCGGCTTGGGGGCCATGATGGACTTTGTCTCCCTGGCAGTATCCCAACATTTTTAAATGAAGTTTAAAATGTGGGGAAAGCTTTTCTCTCTCTTGATATGGACTATGGACTAATTCAGTAAAATTCTCTTCATTCACTAGTTAGTATCAACCTAAGTACTTATCTCTCTCCAGGACAAAATGGCAAATTGACTAATTACGTCAAAGAATGTGGTGAAGACAGTTCGAAAAAACTCTGTGGGACAGAGGTGACATCGGGAGATAAAAAGAAAGTATCATGCTGTAATAGTGACTTATGTTTTGACTGATCTTATTCTAAAGTTGTTTTTGCCTATCCATGTAAAAGGGTGGATAACCAATCTTTCTCCTTTGATAGACATAATATTAGAACGTTTCATATCATTTCTTTCGATGGAGCCCAGGTCTTCCTCCTGCCATTGCAATTCAAATGACAGACAAAAGCCCCATGCAGACATTCTGATGCCACGTCTAATAATCACATTAAGGGTATGTTCCACACAGGAAACCCCCCAATTTGGCTATCCATACTTGTTAATCAAACACTCATTCAGTTCACAACTTCATTTCTCCTTCCTGCTCCCGAGAGGAGGACCACTCATTTGTGCTCACTCATTTATGCACTCCTTCATTGTCTGATATTTTGAAAAGTAAGTTCCTCTTGCAAAAGTGCACAATTGACTTAGGTATTGGGGTGGAATGGGTCATTTCTTGAAGAGTTGATGGACATGTACCAAGCAGTGATTTGCACTGTCTATAGGATTTGTGGGTCTCTTTACCACTCCCCATCCCTGCTTGAACTTGGCAAATCACAGAAGATGTTATCAACTACAATAACCTGTGCTAGGGATGGTGACAATTCCTCTCTTCCTGGAGCTCATGGAACCCTGTACTTCCCAACCACTCCTCGGTTGGAGAACTCAAATGTTCTCTGTTCTCTTTCCTCAACATTGCCATGTGACTGGAACGTAGCAAAGTTTTAAGTAGTTTGGACTGGTTGGAGTTCTAGGTGGCCAACCACGATAGACTTCAATAATAATAGTTAAAATCACTGCTGGTTTTGCGTGCAGTAATAATTCGAAAATAATAGTTTGTATTATTTGTTGTACCTTACGCATCAATGATTTCTTTCAATAAAATTTAAAAATGAAGTTGCGGTCTGTATTCTATTTTGGCTCCTGTGTAATTACTGTATCTTGATCACAAAAGAAATCACTGTACCTCATATTTTCCTTTCCTCAAAATTGAGGAAATCTTAATTATATGGGCCATATCCCATGCTATGCAACAGACTTCTGTGCTCAGCTGCATTTCCTTTCCCTCTCTGGGCCCCTCCAGCTTCCGGAAGACACAGGCAGGAATATGACAGGGCAAAACAAACAAAGCAGATCCTCCATTCTGCATAACACTCTTGCATCATATATGGCAGTGTTCAAATAGAATCCCATACACAAATCACATGAGCCCTGTCAGCATCTGGAAGTATTAACGTAACCGTACCATATTAGTCTGTTTCTCCAAGTCTTTGCACTCAGATTCCAAAATAAAAGGGCCTCAGTCAACTGACTAACCAGCCAACCTTCCACTTCTCCCCAATTAAAAGCATTGGCTCCTATTGGATGCAGTTTGGCTCCAAGAAATATGGAGGTGGCCAGAATATCTGTTCATGGGATTGCCAGGAATGAGAGTCTGTCTTGCAAGCCTGCTGTCTCTCCATGTCCCACATCTTTGAGTAAAGTTGAAGATACATGCAATATCAAAGGACCACTTATTTATCACTCATGGAGAACAGAAACACATGGCTGTGCACATCATTCATTCCACTATGAGCCGCCGTGAGATTCAAAAGAAAGCTGCTAACACAACGATTCGGGAATATGGGCTGGCCAGAAGTCACCCATTGTGTTTCATCTGCAGGCTGGTTGAGAGTTGCCTGCTCGGCACATCTTACTATTACAACTGAAACCTGGAGCTGAACAGAAAACCCTCATAAGATAGCATCAGGCATCCGCTGTGGTCCGTGACATTCTGTACAGCATGCAGCTGATTCCTCAGCACATTTGGATTTGTCCTAACAATCAGCACTTTATGCCTGAAAGGGCCCAAGACAACCATCGCCTTCACTCTCTGCTGCCCATCCGAGTGACCCAAGCATATTGCCAGAGGCTCTTTGGACCTTTCAAGGTCACCAGGATGAAGCAGGAAGCCAAGAGGGTTCCTCCCAGACTTATATAATGGATGTCTTGAACCCGGCTCCTGAAATCGAGCAGCGTGTTCCTGTCTGCCCTGGAAACCTGCGGTTTCTCAGCTGCTAGGCTTTGAAAGCTGTCTCTCCATACAAAAGGCATTCCAATGGAGCAGAGCTTGTTTCTTGGTAATCGAAGGCCACGTCTGCTTCAGGTCTGGCTACTTACATTCTGTGTTCTGCTTTGCCTCAGGACTGGAGGTAAGTATTGCCTCCATCCCCCATCCCAGAAGTGGCGAAAGAAGAATAAACCACTGTTTTAGATAGGTTGACTCTATTAGTAGCAGGAGAGATATACTTTGGGGTGGTAGGGAGGAAATGCCTTCTGCCATAAGTTTGCAATAATTCAGTGTTATGGTACATGCTTTCATGCAGAAAGCCCCAGGTTAATCTGTTAGCATCTCCAGTCCGAAGGTTTCAGGAAAAGAGGGTGGGACATCCTGAGACTCTGGGAACAATAATGGGGCAAAATGGACAGGTAGCCTGAAATGCTGGAAGGCAGCTCTGTATGTATGTAGGAGTTAATCAGGCTGCCCGACGCCTGGTATATGTGTAGTGGTGGTGTTGTGGTCTAAACCACTGAGCATCTTAGGTTTGCCGATTGGAAGGTTGGCGGTTTAAATCCTTGTGGTGGGTTGAGCTCCCATTGCTCTGTCCAAGGTGTTGCCAACCTAGCAGTTTAAAAACACACCAGTGCAAGTAGATAAATAGGGCTGAGCTTAGAGCTCATTGCAGGACAGAGTTAAGCTTCCATTGAGGGAGAAAGCTGCTTTTCTTCTGGGAGCGCCATCTTTGGAAAAAAGAGGATTCCCTTGTCTGGGTGGAATGTGTTGCTAGATTAAGGGCACAGGAGCATGCTATGAATCTGCATAGAGTTTTCTCATCCTCAGAGGTGTAAATTTTGTCCGACTTTCCATGGGGAAAAGAATCCTACCTCTCTAGGATCTATTCTGACAGCTATGTGTGCCCACAGCATTTTGGTGGGTTGGGATATTGAAAATCTTTTGGTCCCATCCCAAATTAAAGAAAGGGGTCTCGCTTGGTACTATGCTTTGCAGTACATCCAGGAAAGAGAATTGATATAAATGAGGGAAGTGGTAGGAGTCCCGGGCTTCAGACTCCTTGTCTACCTCCTAATGAAGCCCCAGATTTGGTGACCGATGGGTGAAGGTGATGCTTTCATGGATAAACAGTAAAACAAATTTTTGTGCCTCCTACAGCAGATGCTGTAAAATGCAGAAAATGCATGCCAACAGGTCATGACAAGCCATGTGGATCAAAGTCAAAGACATGTGAGGGGCCATTCTGTGTAATGACAGAAAGATTGTCAGGTAAGGAGGCTTTTCTGTCTATGTTCCTCCTTTTTTATGATGTGACTAGGATTTGCCTCTTCTGTGCTCTGGTAACCTCTTCATTTCTCTGATGAAAATGGGACTATCCGATTCCACAATGGTAATTATACTATTTATACCGCACACATCTTACTGGGTTGCCCCAGCCACTCTGGGCAGCTTCCAACATGCATAAAAACATAATAAAACATTAAACATTTTTTTAATAAAAAAAATCTTCCCCATATAGGATTGCCTTCAGATTGCTTGGGAGTCCTCCATACCCTCCAACATTTCTCCAATGAAAATAGGCACATCCTAAGATAAAGTGGGGCATTCCAGAATCAAATCAGAAACTGGCTTCTCTAAATCAGGGACGTCCCTAGGAAGTAGGGACACTTCCAGTGTCCGCTAGTTTAGACTACTGCAGTGCATTATACGTGGCGCTGCCTTTGAAGACAATTAGGAAAATGCAGCTGGTCCAGAATTCAGTGTGGGGATGTTTAGGATAGTTGGCAAGGAAATATTTCTTAAGTATTATCCTTCCTTTGCTCATGCTAGTTAGTGATGTAGCAGAGCAAATCCCCTTCTGTACTCATGGAAGCTAGTTGATAGATTCCTTTGAATCTCTACAAACTGACTAACCCAATGTGGTTTGCTCAGATGGATTATTTCTGGTGTCTCCTTTTCTCCCTCTTAAAATACAATAAATACTCACAAGTCTGTCTTTAAAAGTATAACAATAATTTTACTCACAAGTTGTTCACAGTACACATCCTGGAAGGCAGCCTTTAAGCTTCAGGTTACAAACATACAACGTGGCTTACATCCTTTGTGAGGATGGGCACAAGTGCTGCTGGCTGAGAGCCAGCAGCCAACAAAATGGAGGGGACTGAACTGAGAGTTGAATCGAACAAAACTGAGACAAAATGGCTGCTTGACTCTCCCCATAAACAGTATTGACCTCCTGGACCCTGCAATCATCCTCTGAGGCCCTTCTCTGTGTGGTTCCTCTACAGGAAATCTGGAGGGTGGCAATACGAGAACGACCCATTTCTGAAGTGGCCCCCTATTTGTGGAATGCTCTTGCCAGAGAGGCTCTCCTGGCACCATCAATATACAGTCGTACCTCGGGTTAAGTACTTAATTCGTTCCGGAGGTTCTTAACATGAAACTGTTCTTAACCTGAAGCACCACTTTAGCTAATGGGGCCTCCTGCTGCCGCCACGCCGCTGGAGCATGATTTCTGTTCTCATCCTGAAGCAAAGTTCTTAACCTGAAGCACTATTTCTGGGTTAGTGGCGTCTGTAACCTGAAGTGTATGTAACCTGAAGCGTATGTAACCCGAGGTACCACTGTATAACTTTAGACGCCATGTAAAAACATCCCACTCCTCCCAGACCTTTGGCTAATTAAAAAATCTATGAATTTAAAAATGTGGGAGGGGGTATTGTTTTCGTTCGTTAATATGCTATGTATGTTTGTGTTTTTATATTGTAAGGCACTCAGTGATCTTTGGACGAAGGGTGGTATAGAGACTTAATAAAGAATGAGAATGAGTAGAAGAACAAGAATAAGAATAATCATGAGCAGATCAGGATGAATGCTCAATAAATGGAAGAGCCCAAAGTTTTGCTAGTTCATAATAAAATTACTGTACATAATAAATTTACTACAGCAGTTCTGATTTTCTGGTCAGGCTCTGAATTCTCTTGGTAAGGTAAGGAGTAACATCTTTTAACAAATTGGTTCATGGACAAATTGACAGAGCTGTCCTTTCCTTGTCAAATATTGTGCAATGCTTGACAAGTGCAAAGTTGCAGCAGAAATAAGAGAAACACTGGGCATTTCCAACGAATGGAGCATTAGAAAGCTTTCCCCCCACCTCCATTTTGAACACATGGATTCAATTTTGCAGCTGGGGAGATTCCTAAACATATCACTGCAAGACAGACTGTGCAACAACCTTCCAGCAGAACTGGAAGAGCTGCTTCATTAGAATCTTGAATGCCAGCTATAGTCTTCTATTAAGCTGCATTACGTAGAGGGACCTTGCTCAAGAAGATGAAATGTTGGAGAGGGACAGGAAAAGTGAGGTTTCTGCTTCAAGGAACTAACTGGCATGTCACTTGGAAAGTAGCCTATTTTTCAGTCTGAAGGAAAGGTATTTGGGATTTATCCTAGGCAACAGTGGTGGAGATTCTGAGATTTAAGGGTTTGTTTTATTTAGACATGTATTTTGCATATGTTTTAACTTTATTTTATTTTAATGTTGACACTTTAGTAATTTTAGAAGGGGGGGTCAGTTTTAGGTATGCATTTTTCAGTGGAGCTTAAAATGGAATTTATTTCAATGTGCTGTGAACTTTGTCTTTTCTTTTTGTATGAACTATGTGTTAGGATTGTCCTACTCATGTGTAGGACCCTGGTAGAGACACAGGCCCGACTGGCATGTTCTCTCCCTCCTGGTCTGTCGGGAGCTTCAAAAGCTTTCTCCAGCCCAAACATCACCATACCAAGTGGCATTAGCACGCTTAGGAACAGCAGGGTGTTAGCAGTTTGCTTTAACAAACTCCGTAGCATAGCATTTTGGCTAAACTACTTTTATTTACAGATAATACACTTGGAGCATTCTGACTTAGCTCCTTCCTCTTTCTCATCAGACAGAAAAGAGAAAGAACAAAGGACAATAGTCCCACATCACGGAAACACAGTAACATACACATCCTGTCTCTGTCACTTCCCACACTGTGGAATGAAAACATACACCATCATGTGATAGAAAACAATCCCATGACTGCAAACATGGAGCAGGAATCCTAACACTATGGACTCCACTCAACAGTTAGCATCAGCATAAGCACTTCTCTTTCTCTCGCCAGGTCAAAACAAAAACTTGAAGATCATGAAATTCTGTGGCAAAGCTGAGAATAAAAAGCTCTGTGGAACAGAAACGAAAACAGGAGAAAAACTTAAAGTACATTGCTGTGAAACCGATTTCTGTTTTGACTGATTTTACTGTTGTATTCTTGTATTGTTTTAACCCATCCAGAAACCTCTTGGTAAAGGGTGGGCAGCCAATCTTTCTCCTTCTCTTTCACTTTCTCCTTTGAAAGACATAATATTAGAACATTTCATATCCTTTGCTTTTGACGGATGCCTGGTCTTCCTCCTGCAAACACAGAAAACAGAAAAAACACAGAGCAAACACAGAAAAGCAACAAACCCCACCCCGAGACTGTGATTCTACCACTGCAACCACTAGTACACTACTCACAGTAATGGAAATAACAATAACACTAATAATAATAAATTTGTTCCCCACTCATCTTAAATGTGTAGCCCCATTTTATGTACCCCCTTCGACTCATGCTCCTGGTTTGAAATCCTGCTCTTCATCAGCCTGCCAGATTGGCCAATTGCAGGCTGGTGTAGAGAGGGAACAATCAGGATTCCCTCAGGTCCGCTCCTGGGGGATTTAAAACAGCCCACGCCAGCCCCCGATGTCCAGCATTTCTTCATTGGATCAACCCACCCATTTTGCATGTGCAAATTGAATTGACCTTGCAATGGCTGCGGAGGTCACTGTATTGTTGGTGCCGGGTAGGAATTTGTCTACCTGGGGAATTGGCTATGACCTGGAGGTTTTGCCTACCCTGTAGCAATTGTCACAACTTTGGCGGTTTAGGCGTTGGGTAACCTTAACCTTGGTTGGAGGGGGGGTTGTACTCTGGCCTTCCCCTCCAGAAATAGGGTATGTGATGGAGTTGCTTCTGTCCATTTGCCCAGAAGGGGGTAGGGGCTTGGGCCTGTCCATCAGATTCTCAATTCATCTCTTCTTGAAGCTCATGGAACCCCTCTGTTCTTCCCAACCCCTCCTTGGTTGGAGAGCTTGAATATTCTCTTTTCACTTTCCTGAACATGGCCATGTAATTGGAACGTAGCAAAGCTTTTAAGTAATTTGGACTGGTGGGAGTTCTAGGTGGCCAATCAAGATAGAGTTCAATAATGATAGTTAAAATTACTGCTAGTTTTGCATGCAGGAAAAAATGTGAGAATAATAGCTTGCAATATTTGTTGTACCTTACGCAACAATGCTTTCCTTCAATAAAGTTTAAAAATGAAGTTGTGGTCCGTGTTCTATTTTGGTTCCTGTGTAATTTTTGTATCTTGATCACACAAGAAATCATTGTACCTTATATTTTCTGTTCCTGCCTATTTTAAAAGTATGGGCCACATCCCATGCTTTGCAACAGACTTCTGTGCTCAGCAGCACTTCCTCTCACCCTCCTGCTTTCCCTCCAGCTTCCGGCAAGCACAGACAAAAATACAACAATGCAGATCCTCCATTCTGCACAACACTCTTGCATCATATATGGCAGTCTTCAAATAGAATCCCAAACATAAATCACATGAGCCCAGTCAGCATCTGGAAACATTAACATAACCATAGCATGTTAGTATGTTTCTCCAAGTTTTTGCACTCAGATTCCAAAATAAAAGGGCCTCAGTCAACTGACTAACCAGCCAACCTTCCACCTCTCCCCAGTTAAAAGCAGCAGCTCCTATTGGATGCTATATGGCTCCAAGAAATATGGAGGTGGCCTGAAAACCTTTTCATGGGATTGCAGGAATCAGAGTCTGTCTTGCAAGTCTGCTATCTCTCAGCTGGCTCCCTTAGTACCACTTTCTCGGTACACAAAGGACTTTCCAATAGGGCAAGTCTTCTGTCTGAGTGACTGGGGGCCAGGCTTGCTCAGACCTGCCGGTTTGCACTCTGTTTTGCTCTGCCTCATGTCTGGACTATTTCTGCTGCCATGTTGGAAAGAATCAGCACATGCCTGGAGGAATACTTTTTTAATAATAATAATTTATTATTTGTACCCCGCCCATCTGGCTGGGTTTCCCCAGCCACTCTGGGCAGCTTCCATAGAAACCAAAAATACACTAAAATATCACCCATTAAAAACTTCCCCAAACAGGGCTGCCTTAAGATGTCTTCTGAATGTCAGGTAGTTATTTATCGCTTTGACATCTGATGGGAGGGCATTCCACAGGGTGGGCGCCACTACCGAGAAGGCCCTCTGCCTGGTTCCCTGCAGCTTTGCTTCTTGCAATGAGGGAACCGCCAGAAGGCCCTCAGCGCTGGACCTCAGCGTCCAGGCAGAACGATGGGGGTGGAGCTGATAAACAGCTGCTCTGGACACAGAATTGACCTGCGCCTCCATGGACAGCTGTGAGTCCAAAATGACTCCCAGGCTGCGCACCTGGTCCTTCAGGGGCACAGTTACCCTATTCAGGACCAGGGAGTCCTCCACACCAGCCCGCCCCCTGTCCCCCAAAAACTGTACTTCTGTCTTGTCAGGATTCAACTTCAATCCATTAGCCGCCATCCATCCTCCAACCCCTTCCAGGCACTCACACAGGACCTTCACCGCCTTCACTGGTTCTGATTTGAAAGAGAGGTAGAGCTGGGTATCATCTGCATATTGATGAACACCCAGTCCAAACCCCCTGATGATCTCTCCCAGCGACTTCATATAGATGTTAAAAAGCATGGGGAGAGGACGGAACCCTGAGGCACCCCACAAGTGAGGGCCCAGGGGTATGAACACTCATCCCCCACCACCAGTTTCTGAACACGGCCCAGGAGGAAGGAGCGAAACCACTGTATAACAGTGCCTCCAGCTCCCAGCCCCTCTAGACGGTCCAGAAGGATGTTATGGTCGATTGTATCAAAGGCCGCTGAGAGATCCAGCAGAACTAGGAAACAACTCTCACCTTTGTCCCTAGCTCGCCGGAGATCATCAACCAGCACGACCAAGGCAGCTTCAGTACCATGATGAGGCCTGAATCCCGATTGGAAGGGATCCAAATGGTCCGCATCCTCCAGGCGTGCCTGGAGTTGTTCAGCAACCACGCGTTCAATCACCTTGCCCAAGAATGGAAGATTTGAGACTGGGCGATAGTTGGCCATACTGGCCGGGTCTAAAGATGGTTTTTTAAGAAGCGGTTTAATGACCGCCTCTTTCAGCGGATCTGGGAATGTTCCCTCACGGAGGGAAGCATTCACCACCCCGCAGAGCCCATCGCCCAGCCCTTCCCGGCTTGCATTAATTAGCCAGGATGGGCAAGGATCAAGGAGACAGGTGGTTGGTTTCACGCGTCCAAGCAGCCTGTCCACATCCTCGGAGGTAATGGATTGAAATTGATTCCATGCAACTTGACCAAACAGAGCTCTAGCACTCTCCCGCCCCAGCCCTGCTCCCACGGTGGTGTCTAGCTCCTTCCGAATATGAGTGATTTTATCTGCAAAAAACTTTGCAAAATCGTTGCAGGAGATCTTGGGGTCTTTACAAGGCCCCGGTGGTAAAGGTGGTTCCGTTAAATTGCGAACCACCTGAAAGAGTCTCCTGCTACTATTTTCTGCAGATGCAATAGAGGCGGTGAAGAAAGTCTTCTTCGCCGTCGCTATCGCCACTTGGTAGGCTCGACGTTGAACTCTAACCTGTGTCCGGTGAGATTCGGAGTGAGTTTTCTGCCACCGACGCTCTAGCCGTCTCAGTGATTGTTTCATCGCCCTCAGCTCCAAAGAAAACCATGGGGCTGTCCGGGCTCCATGCAATCGGAGAGGGCGCTCGGAGCCAAACAGTCGACAGCCTTGGTTAACTCCGCATTCCAGCGGGCCACCAGGGAATCAGCTGAAAGGCCATCAACTTGGGCTAAAGCATCCCCTACCACTCTCTGGAAACCATTTGGATCCATTAAGTGGCGGGGGCGGACCATCCGAATTGGTCCCACCTCCCTGCAGAGGGGAAGGGTCGCGGAGAAGTCCAGTTGCACCAGGAAGTGATCTGACCATGGCACTTCTTTTGTTTCACTTTTACTTAGTGTCAGATCACCCACGTCACTAGAGGTGAACACCAGGTCTAAGGCATGTCCATGACTATGAGTTGGGCCAAACTTATTCAGGGACAGCCCCATGGAGGCCATGCTTTCCACGAAGTCCCGAGCAGCCCCTTGTAAGGTCGTGTCGGCATGGATGTTAAAATCCCCTAGGACAACCAAACTAGGTGTCTCCAGGAGAAAATCCGCCACGACCTGGAAGCAGCTCGGACAGGGAATCCTTGGTGCAGAGGGAGGTCGGTACACCAAAAGGAATCCTGTACTGCCCCTATTGCCCAACTTCCAGAACATGCACTCAGAAAACTGGATCTTGCCAGTAGGACGCCTGGTGCAAGCTAGTGACTTCCTAAAAATCACTGCAACCCCCCCTCCCCGCCCACATGACCTGGGTTGCTGTGCGTAAGAGAAACCTGGTGGGCGAGCAGCGGCAAGGACAGGCCCATCTGCTTCCTCCAACCAGGTCTCTGTCACTCATGCCAGGTCAAATCCTCCATCCACAATCAGGTCGTGGATGGCAGTGGTTTTATTAATCATTGACCTGGCATTACACAGCAACACTTTCAGGTCATGTGGGTTTCCCCTGTTGATTCCAGTATCCATCCGGTCAAGGCCAGACCTGGAGGCAGGGATAGTCTTCAAACAACGACTAAACCTGCCTCCTCGGTAATGACATGGTCCGGTCTTAGCGTAACTCCGCCTCATGCCCACGATCACTGAGATCGGATGTTCCAGTGCTTCCCCCCCGTGGAACTTGTCTCAGCCATTGTGTTGGCTGGGGCCCCACTCCCAGGCAGCCCTGATCCCGCCCCTTAAAAACAAAACACAAACTATACAGAACCAATAAAACAACAGCAACAACAAAAGGAACAGAACAATTATACTAAAATTAATCCCCAACCAAATATCCATCCCACCCACCCACCCCCAACAAAGGAGGGGGAAAAAAGAAATAAAAATGTAAATTGCCACCGACTGCTTGAGGACATTTTAAAGCACATTAACCACTTGGAACAGGGAAGCAATGGCAGAACACTTCCCACACTTCCCCAAAAGTTTGTTCCAAATAAGGGCCTGGGCCACGCCCCCTGGGCCAGTTGGAAAAGGCCCTGGAAGGGAGCAGGCCCTGCAGTCCTCACCCAGCCGATGGTCAAATTGGGCAAATGCCAGGGACCCATTGGGGCAAATATGCTCTAGCACCACTCTATTGCTTTGATGATGATGATAATGATGATGATAAATCCCTTCCACAAGCTCCTTAAGTGCATGTCTGACTACATTCAGCTTTCTCTTGCCTCTGTTGCATGAAACCCAGAAGGACATCAATCAATTTCCCCAGTTGGTGAGGACCAGGTCCAAGATAGGTGATTCTCTTGTTGCTTCTTCCACCTTCTGGGTAATGAAATTGTCAGTGAGGCAATGGAGGAATTTGTCAGACCTTACATTCTTGGCAGCGTTTGAGGTCCAACAGATATCGGGGAAGATGAAGTCTCCCATAGTTACTACATCTCTCCTTTATGAATGTTTGGTGATATGGTCTAGGAAAGCATCATCCAAGTCTTCAGACTGGCTTGGCGTTCTATAGCAAACATCCATGGTAAGGTCACTGTTGTTTCTCTCTAGTGCAATTTTTACCCATATCCTCATAATCAGCTTTCCATGCTCCAGTGTGTACATTTTTTACATATAATGCTGCTACTCCTCCCTTCCTGTTTGGTCTATTCCTTTTGTTTTGTTTTTTATAACTATTATATTGGTTTTTACCATTTTTTTCAAACATAACATCATTATTATATAAGAAGAACAAGAACAAGAACAAGAACATTTGGCTATATAAGCCTGACCCTTCCCCTCGGCTAATGGTCTATTCCTTTTGAACAGGTTATACCTGTCAATTCCTATGTTCCACTCATGAGACTCATCCCAATAGGTTTCAGTAATGCCTACCAGGTAATATTTGCCATCCTGTATTAAAAGATCTGCCTGGGACGCGGGTGGCGCTGTGGGTTAAACCACAGAGCCTAGGACTTGCCGATCGCATGGTCGGCGGTTCGAATCCCCGCGGCGGGGTGCGCTCCCGTTGCTCGGTCCCAGCGCCTGCCAACCTAGCAGTTCGAAAGCACCCCCGGGTGCAAGTAGATAA